ATGCTTATGGAAAATCACACACAATTGGTAGCTTCATTATTGTGGCTTTGTTTCGATTTCCCAAGCAGAAAACATCACAAACATATGCGCCTTATCCTTCAAGAGTTCTTCTACTTGCTTAGCAGATATATAGACCAACTTTTCACCTTCGTCGAACTTAGACTCATGCTCTAGAGGCAAGTCGCAGATATCTTCAGGAAAAACATCGGGAATTACACACCACTGGAATATCACTAGCCGTCACATTGCTCTCTACTCTCTGAGAAGCAAACATCAACAATACCCAATCGCTCTCCATCAAAGACATCACAACTCGACCGAATGAAAGGAAACTCGAATTCACATTCTCTTCGGGTTCGGGAAATAACTCAACCTCAATAACAACTGCATTCTTACAATCAACAACACACTGAACCAATGCTCCACAACTGAAACATCTCAGAGAAGCAAAATCTTATCCCTCACTTATTTTAATATCTCTCCTGTTGGAAAGCGGTTAGAAAAACAAACAAGTATCGATAGTCTTTCATACATGTCGTGTACTAAGGAACAAATAACATTAGACAACCTGGCCGAATGGACTGACCTGCTTTGATACCACTAATGTAACACCCTAAACCACGTGCATGAAGAATCTCTTAATTTAATTATAAATACAACCACATAGGGTGTCACACACATAAAAAACACACATCCTACTCCTTAACACGGGTTTCAACATAATAATTCAAAGACACACATTTGTAATTGGGATGTTTATATGACATCTAACTCATCTGAAATGTACCTGGGATGTTTACACAACATCCAACCCATCTGATCGGTATCACATCTTTATATAATAAGACATTTCATAACCTGTCATCGCATGCTCACACAATTATTCAAGGAATTATCACAACAGAATCATTAATAAAACAACTAACAACATTGCAACTTATGCCGATTAATCCCATAAACATTAATTTTATAGAATGAGCAAAAACAGTCAAAATATTCAACTTAAACAACTTAAAAATCTCAACAACACAAAAAGTCTTTAACTCCGACACAAACGACATAATAGCCAATTCAAGTGTTTATCTCAACCCGATGTTACATGATCAGAGCGAGGAACTGCATGAATGCATGAACTCTCAATCATGCAACAACAACACATATACATTGGCCCTTTTTTTACCGTGTATGCCACCAACAATATAATTACCATAAACATATCATGTATATATACGGACATCCATCATCATTAATAATATTATCACAACAACATCATTGATATCAAATCATAACAACATCATTATCACACAACATTGTCACACAATGCAGCAACCCATTAACCAAACATATAAACCAATAACCTCATCAACATACTAGACATTTGAATAATATTGAATAATTTCCCTTATCTCTATTATAACTATGATTACATTATCACTTGATAGGAAATCACTTTAGCTTTCCAATGCTTCAAACAGAATCTCGTTTGGGGTTACAGACTAAAAGTTATGGCAAAAAAGAATTCATAGTACAAAATTCATGGAACTATTACGGTCGCCCGTAATGGCTGTTACGACCCGTAATACACCCAACCCAGATTTTCACTTTGGGCATGCCCCTAGTACCAAAATCTAGGGGGATGTTACAGCCACCCGTAATGGCTATTAAAGACCGTAATAGAGCCCAAAAAAACAACTTTTTCCACGCGATTTTGTGTGGTCTCTCTTATTTTTTAGCCTTGAAATAGACCCCAAACCCCAAGTTTTGACCTCTAATAATACCAAAACATATCATATGGTACATGAATCAATAGAAATAAACAAATTACAACATCAAGACTAACACATAAAATCCTTTAATCCCTCAAAATCAAGTTTTCATATATTCAATCGATTTCAAGAACACAACAACATGCCATATAAAAACAGAATTTTCATTAGATTTGCATCGACATCCATCTTAATTAAAAGGAAGAACAATCCTATGAAGGTTAAGAGTCCCTCCACTCTACCCTGCATCACACCCCTATTATTGAACCGAATTCTCAGCCTTACCTTGTAACTCCAAAAAAATTCAACGTATATGGTGATCAAGGATCTCTTCTCTCAAGCCTTTGCACACCTTCTCCCAAAGCCTTGTTTTCTCTATTCTCTTTGGTTCACGTACTGACAAAATACGACTCTTTTTTACTAATTCTTAGAATATATATATATATATATATATATATATATATATATATATATATATATATATATATATATATATATATATATATATATATATATATATATATATATATATATATATATATATATATATATATATATATATATATATATATATATATATATATATATATATATATATATATATATTTTGTGTGTGTGTGTGTATTGAGTTTTTTCTTTACTACCTCCAACTTACCCTCACAATTTGCTAGCTTACCCTTAATTCCTCTACACACTTTATTTTCCTTAATATCTTATTATTCTAAAATATATTCACTTAATTAAATAATTACTCTTACTATTTAACCACTACAATAACTCAAAATAATTCCAACTAGTTTCTACACCACCTAATTATTTTAATTGACCCAACCCATCAATAAATAAAAACACACAAAATCACACATAATTTATAAATAATTCGATAAAAATGAATAATTGAAAATGGGGTGTTACAAGACGCATCCCTCAGTTGAAGGAGGCTTTTTAATGTGAGGTTAGTCCCTCTTTTGTTTGCCTAAGCCCCCTAATTAAGAGGTGGGTCATCTCCTCTTTCCAAGTGTCTCGTGATTAGCTAAAATGTCAACTGGAGAATGTCAATTAATCTTTCAGATGATCCCATTTACTTTCACTTAATGTAAGTGATTATGGTCTATTTTTCGAGATTGTATACACTAGTGCCACATGCTAGAAACGCGTTGAGCCTTTTTAAAATATGAGGGAGCCTAAAATGTTCCTAGTGGTCTTAATTTCCTTATAAAAGTTCCTCCATCCATTCATTACTCGCATTTAGCTCCCACGAGTTATGCAAGCTCATCTGAACTGTACAGCTTTTCTACGCCCTTGATTTTTCTTCCACAGTCCTTTTCGAAGTATGAAATTACTTTTTCTCCCTTAATATGTAATGAGTAGGGTTTCTGAAGAAATGTTCAAAATGAAATCAATGTTAGAATAGGATTGTAGGTTTTAAGGGTTATAATCATCCCTTTTGATGATTGTAACAGTGCTGGTGATTTCTTTTTGTTCCACAGTTTTCCCAAGAAAAAAAGATAATGGTTGCCCCTTTTTATCGTGCCCAAGGATGCCGGGGACATTGAACCTTATTATACTTTTGGAAAAAAGAAGAAGAAATAGAGGTTTTAAAAATATTTTTTGTGAGTGTATGATTTTGTCATAATACTTTACAAAAACGCCCTTGTGTTTTTACGAAACACTGATCACTAAGACATGATCAGGAAAGCTTTCACATTTCCTTTCTTTCACACTCTAAAGCTTTAAGAATTTCCCGAATACACTGATCATTAATCACTTGTTTGAGTCTTCTTAGAGATGAGACTTAAAATATCTTTAAGTTGGATGTCATCATCGGAGGAAATCAACGATGATCATTAAATCCTAACTCTTCATCTTTATTCGAAGGAAGAGCTTGAACAAACTATTTGTTGCATCTTTGACCGCTTGAAATAATTGCTTGTCTTTTAGTCAAGATGCGACTTCATAAGTTATCATCATCAAAATCATGATAAGCATGACTTGGTTAGAATTAATTACTTCTTAATTGAACATGCAGGCACATAATTCTACCGTTCTTTCCCTTCCAAGTTAACCCCAATATGCATCAACATATTCATAATGAGATCACCATAAAATTACCAAGAACCAGTCCTTCGACAATTCAACATGTGATGAATCATACCACTTGTCCAGTTAGTTTAAATATTGTTGAACAAGAGCCATGCAACAATCACATATGGTTTCACCAAGTGGGCATGGACTGATTTTCTTATAATCAACCTAATTAAGAGGACGGACCGTGGTCATAAATCCAACTGTAAAAAACACTATATATAGAGAATAGATTATTTCCAGTGTATTATTGGCTGATTTTTCACCCATTTTCAATCATATCCCTTAAAACCCATCTCTTTTACTTTTATATTTTTATCAATTCATTTTTAAAGGTTAGGATTTAATGGGAGGAATTCTCATCGGAGAGAATACACTCCCCTATATATGATCGTAAATCAGACTTAAAATTATCTCTTTTTTAATAAATAAAATAATAGTAAAAAAAAGTATAATTTGTATTATTGAGTTCTAATGAAGACAGTTAAACAAAATATTAATTAGTTGGGGGTGTATATTAGGGGGAAGATAGTCTCTTTCTTTTAATTCAGAATATGAACGTGTATTTGGGCCTTTACTTTGGTCCATATTCTTTTTTCCAATTTGACCATATAAGAAGTTTTCTTCCTTCATAGCTGATGTGTTGTTGTAAACTAGCAGAGCCACCAAGGTGCTTAGGGTTTCATCTTCCATGATGGAATCTTGCATTCTTTACTGTGCTTAACATTTAATTTTCTTGAAATATAGTTTCATTTAGTTTCATTTAGAGTGATTGAAGTATAGGGGTGAAGCATATAGGGGAGAGCAGTATTAATGAGTGGCTCTGAAATACCCGTAGGTTCTCTACGGGGTGCCCTGTCTTCCATGCCCTTAACATCAATATGGCATCATAGTACGGATTTTGTGCTTTCATCACATTTCCGCCTCCAAACGCCATTACATCGTAATCATACACTTCAAGTGATTTTACAATAAAGGCACTGTTTTAACAGTGAGGATTGAAAACGGACCTAGATCAAGTGAAAAGAGAAACCAAATCCATGTTGTTGGTACCTTATTTTAAGCAAAATATGCATTTTGACATTTATTACAATTTCTACAACAACATCAAAACTAACAACACAGAACACCGCAACTAATCTCAAATAGTTAGACAAGATCATGTGCATAATTTGTGGATACATTTGGATACAAGACACTTCGAAACAAACCCTTTTCCAAAACCCAATCTTCAATCATAGCTTGAGAGTTCAAAGGTTGATCAGTAGGCAAAAGATGTCCAGCCCCCAAAACCACAACATTAGTAAGAGTCTTCCATTTCTGCACATAACCAGCTAAATCTCCTTTCACCTTCCAAATCTCTCTCTCAGCATTCAAATACTCAACAATCCCTTCCCATTCCATTGTCTTCACCCATGCCTCTACTTGAACCACACCGTCTTGCAAATCACGTTGTCCTTGATACAGCAACACTTTAGTACTCTCTTTCAATAACTTCTCCACCATAAACTTAACACTTTTCATCACATCATCATGCAATAAATCACCAACAGCATCACTGCATATCTCGTAAACAAACGATTCATCGACATTCACTCCTAAAGCCTGCTTCACTTCAGCAATGTTCAAGAACTTTTCAACCAAATCATCTTCATAAGGAATTTTCCTTGAATAATCATACAAAGTAGCCAACCCGGTCATGCTACGCAATAAACTCAATGCATTGTTTCTAGCATCAGTTGCCTCACTCCAATTCCCTCTTTCAACCAATCTAACAACTTCAAGTTGTGCTTTTTCCAACTCATTCTTTTGCTTCTCATTGATTAATCCAACGTAATAAGCATTAGCAGCATGAGTAACAACTTGTGTTACAGGGTCTGTTAATCCATCACCAATTGCCAAACCAGCTAAATTCACTCTCTTGGCGGGGTCTTTCAACTCAGCGTTTTTCTCCAAGATGTAGTATCCAATTGCAGGAACATATTTTCCAGCATAGCTTTCACCTGTGATATAAATAGGACGATGTTTGAAAACAGGATCAAGTTGAAGAAACCTTGTTATAGCAGTGAAAAGGTGTTTTGCGACTCCGTTTTGATCGGTTGGAATCTCTTGTGGGGTTGAGGCTACGCTGAAGCCAGTTCCAATTGGATTGTCGAGAAAAAGAAGACCAAAGATTCTATTCCAAGAACCAGGGTTGGGTTGAAGGGTGAGTGATTTGGTGAGACGATAGGGCCCAAGTTCATAGAAGTTTCCAATCATGGAGGAGCAGCCAGGACCACCTTGAAGCCAGATGAGAAGTGGGGTTTGGGAGAGAGGTGAGGTTGAGTTTTGGGCTTCATAGAATGTGTAGAAAATGGAGGAATTGGAGTAGGAGCTCACTGGTAGGTAACCTGATTTAGTGGGAAGTGCTTGTTTGGGGAACGATGTTGTAGAATGTGAGAATGAGAAGCATAAGAAGAAAACAAGGGTTGTTGAATATTTTTCCATGTTGATTTGATTTAGTAATGGTGTATAGAACTGAATATTTGAAGGACAAGAAATATGAACTTCATGTGATGTCACATTGGTTAGCAGACAAATATGACCTCGGAAACATCAACTCATCAGTTAAAAAACAAATAATTCATACTCCCTCCAAACACAAACAGACTAAGATGCTTGCTAATCTTTCTATTACACCAACCCCTGTATACATATATTAAACATTATCATTTTTAAGATTTATTCACGTATTTGATTTATATCTTAAAATTATTGATATTCAATGAATCTGAATATATTTTAAAATTTATATATTTAATATTTTAAAATTAAAAACTGTTTTTATTAATGTAAAAAATATATTTTAAAATTGATTTGGTTGATTGTGGATTTGGAAACGCATTCTAGGTGTGAGGATTTCTGGTCAAAGTACAATTGTTGCTCTTGCAGTTTAAAATTGAGAAGTTGACTTGCAATGAGATAACACAGTAGAAGAAGAGAGTGAGAAATGTGAATTTATTCTGTTAAAAATGCCTATAGTTGAATCATGAAAGGTATAGACTGTAATGTGGATAAAAATCTATCTGTTGCATGGAACGATTATGTTTCATAAAAAGATGTAGTATCGGTGTGGAGATTACTCCAAGTTAGACTTCCAACTAGAGTAAATTTAATCAAAAGAGGTGTGTCCTTTTGATTGTGGTATAGAGGAAACAGCAGCACACTTATTTTTTTATTGCCAACTGAAATCTGAATAATGGCAAATAAAACACTTAAGTGGTTAAAAATATACTCTGCATTTCGCAACTGTGTGTCGATCCATATACAGCAATTTGCAGATCTGATTATGCAGGATTGGCTTATGCTTAGAGAATGAGTTAATAATAATATTTTTGTCCTTTCAAAAAAATACTTGTAGATATTGTAACTTTTGGATTCTCAAGATGCCAAAAATTTTATTAGTAGATAAATATTTTATATATAATCGTCCTAGTATTTTTTTTTTTATAATAACAACTTGTCTGTTAAAGTATATTTTCCAAAAAAGCTAAAATTTGTTTATTTCATTGACAGTGCAATGTCTACACTAGAAGATGCGAATGGTTTGAGCCATGTGTTTCTATGTAGGAAGAGAGTAGGGAAGGTTAAAAATGTTTATGTTGATTCAAAGCAAAGCCAACCTTGTTGTAAATAATTTGACATTATGTGTTATAACTTGCTTCACACGTAGCTAACTAATAACAACTATAAGTGGAATTTATCAACAATATGAGACAGGAACCTATCAATATTCAATCTCTCGGTTACACTACACAAAAATGGGTAAATTGTGACGATTATAAAAGTGTTATTATGGTGTTTACAACCGTCACAATTCATGAAAATAATGTTACGCTGTATTTTTTGCTCCCGCTAAGAAAATAATGGTGATTTCATATAATAGTCACACAAACCGCCATAATAAACTTAAGTGTAAAATAGTGGTGCTTTGTTTATAAATATTGGTCGTTTAAACTAACACAAATAACACTACTTTTATAAATAAAAAAAGTAAGAGAAATTAAAGAAGTTATAACCGCTATAATTTTCACATTATTCATTAAAAAAAATTATCCATCAATAGCTTAAGATGATGCACTCATATTATGAACTCTTAGATTGATCTTGACAATTGAGTATGATCTAAAATTTATCTAAACTGATAATGGTGAGAAGAAAATATTAAGCATGAGTAATACTAAAATAAAATAAGCAAAATGGATAACAAATTTTTAGTGATCAAATCAAAATAATAATAATTAAATATTAGTTCCCACAAAATTATTGAAATTAAATTAACCCCCCAAACTCCATCCAAAAACAAAAATCCATTTATAGTCCTATCAAAGAACCTCTCTATGACGTGTCTTCTTCCCCAACATTTTCCCTTTGTACAACCTTCCATTGAAAAAGTACATTAAAATGACAAGCATGTGGACGATATTGAATAAACGGGAGGCTCTCTCACATCAAAATGATAATCACAGAAGCTTCCACAATCTCTTTGAAATGTTCAAACATAAAAACCGAGATGATAAAAAATAACTAATAGTAATATGATTTCAAAAATAAATTTAACCTGAAAATTATATCAAAGAATATCAAAGAGTAAATTATAAGTTGCATATAATTTTCGAAAATGCATGCTTATAGCAAATTAACAATGATGCAACGACAAAACCTAGAATAGATATAGTATACTAAAGATGACAAAAATCAAATTAATATTATAGACAATAGAAAGAGACGACATAGATTGATGATGAGAACTAGACTTGTGGGGTAGCAGAAAAGAGAGGAAACTTAAGGAACAATAAAAATTAGAGCACGCTTGAGAGGATGAGGATCACATATGTAACACTCCGTTTATATTTAAATGTTATTTCATTAATTATTTTCCAAAACTATTAAATAATATCTATTTTGAGAAATATATTCAATTGATATCGATTAAAATATTAATTGGGTAATATGAAATAAAAATATTTATTATGTCGAAATATTATTTTGAATAATATTAATTTGGTGTGTAGTAATATTTGACTTTGTTTGATTAATTGGCATGATTAGGTTTATATAGAATAAATATTATTTAGTGTAATATTGTTTTAATAGAGTTATATATTATAATTTGAATTAAATAATTGTTGGGGCCAAATTATAATTTTAGAAAGATAGAGGGAGGAAAGTTAGTAGTAGAAGGATAGTTTTATAAAATAGAAAAGTAGAGTTAGTAAGAGTGGTTGGTAAGAAGAGAAAGAAGAAAGAAAAGAGAGAGAGGAAAAGAGAGAAGAAGAAGAGAAGAGAAGGAGAAGGCTAGGGTTTGTTCTACAAAATCATCATCTTGTTCCAAGAAAATCAACACTAGAGGTAAGGGTTTGACTTCCACCAATTATTTAGTGTGTGATTTTATAGTTTGATTTGTTCTCGAGATTTCTTAGCTTGTTTTGTTGCTTTGATTGTGGTATGAAAATATATTGGTTATTGCCTTGTGTTTTGTTTGTTATACTGGTATTAAATTAAAAAAATTCAGGAAATTAATTTTTGTATACTGTATGCATATGATTTTGGGTTAAAGTTAGTTGAAATTGGAGAAATGAAATAGAATGCAAACAAGTTACCGTGCGTGGAAGTGATACAATTGAAAACTGGGTAGTGAGAAATTGAGGAACAGTGGGCGAATAATGAGAGTGTCGTTCGGCACTGTTGTTGAGGTTGTCTTGGCCGGTGTTACACACTAGCCGTGTGGACCCTCTTTTACTCATTCCATTTTGTGTTCATTTTCTTTGTTGTGTGTTACTATATGTATCATATACTACTTCTAATACACCAATTACTTTACTAAGTAGCATTGACACATGGTTAGAAATAAAATAGAATATTAGGTAGTAGATATTGTTATAGAATCAATATACCTGCATTATTTAATCAAACTAATACAGGTATGGGCAAGTAATATTTCTCTGGTACATTATAATAATAATAGCAGAATTAAGGCTATTTAAAAACAGAGCCAATTATTGTACAAGAGCAATAATAATTGATAAAATTAGTAGTTTGTAATAAATTGGCAGTAGTCTAATTAAGTTAATAAATATTGAAATTGAGTTGGTCAATTCGGTAAGTTTAAAACAGTCCCATTTGGTCAAATTAGCCGAATTAAGCGGTATAACTAGTTGCCCGGAATTTAACGAAAATTAACGTGCTAGCATAATTCGACGTGTAGATTAACGTAGTGAAGTTAGTTTTTCGATATTTCGACTTTTTAAGAATTGACCCGATTTTAGTACAAAATGAACTAAGTTGAGTTAAATTCCGAATTTAACCGTTTGAGTTGCATTTCGGTGACTCGATCGCGATGGGTAACATTAGGAGTAATGTCGGTTCATTGATGATGAGTTTTATGTTGAAACATACTTTCCGATTGGAATTGTGTGGTTGGTTATTGGTTGAGTAAGTAACTTGTTTATATACATTTTACTTGATGTTGTGATTGTTAAATGACATGTATGCATGCATGTACAATAGTTGATGTTCCATTGGTTGGATTTGATGGTATGTGTATGTTAAGATTATGTGAGTCTTAATTGCATACGTTTGGTTATATTGAACATTTCATGGCATGGTTGGTCTTGAAATAGAGACGGTGAAACTATGGGTTCACATGAATACATATAGACAGTGACCCTAGTGTGGGAATAGACGTAGAGACCTTGATCCGGAAGGGAAATATAGGTGATAGAACATTGGGTCCATAATATATAGACGGTGACCCTAGTGTGGGGATAGACGTAGAGGCCTTGATCTTATGTGGAAATATAGGCGGTGGAACTTCGGGTCCACGAGTCGGTACCGCATTCGCATATGTTGATTCCTGTTGTGAGTCACATGCATAATTGTGTATATTGTGTATGTGTGTTGATGTGTTTGGTTATGTGCCAATGTTGTTGTTGTTTGAATAATGGTTATGTGCCAATGATGTGAGTATTCGGATAATTGGTTTATATGGTTAATGTGTTGGAAATGACTTCCTTGAGTATGGATACTATATGTGATAAAATGAATATGATCATGATGTATTGCTTTATTTATTGCCATTGCTTTACCTTAATTACATGTTATATGATTATTGGAATTCTTACCCTGCTGTTTGAAAATGCTTTTGATGGCATTGTTCAGGTACCGAGGATGGTAGCGCGAGGCGCTAGTTAGCGGATGCATTGGATTGCAATCTGTTTTATTTTGATTAGAGTCGAGTCGATGCTCTGGTAGTAACACCTGGGGGGGTTATACTTAGTGTCGAACTCGTCTATTTTGTATTCGGATTATGATGTATATAATCCTTACTTTGTGTATATTATTTTGTGTATGTGAGACTTGATAACATATGCTTTATGTGAATTATCACGGCTTGATGCCTTGAATTATGTTTTGATTCCTCCATGTATGGAGATGAAGTTAAATAT